GATCATTTTGGAACTCTGTATGTCTGCCTTCAGGAAGTTTAAAAAAAAAACAATTAATCTATTCTTTGACCACTTAGCAATACTCAATAGGTAAAATATCAATAAAATATCAAGACGTGTGTCGTGATATATGTTAAATTAACAGCAAAATAAAAAATAGCCTTATATAAGATGTTCAGAGACTAGACATTCAGGAAAGAAAGCTAATAAAGATAGCGAAAAGAAAATAGATTTGTAGCATAAGCTGAAATAACCAGTTGAAGCATGTAAGGAATATGTACAAGTTAAATGAGGTGGGACTGAATTTAGCAACGATCACAGCCAGCATTAGAGCTAATATTTGCTTAGATCAAACTTTAAGAATTTAGCAGATTAGTCTAGCAGTTAAAAAAAAATTTATTTTGAAAATAATTACAAAATGATGCAGTCATTTTATCTTAGGTTCTTTTATTGAATTCATTATAGGGGTTTTTCAGAGCCTTTTTTACTTTTGAGAGATATGACCAAAATTTCTTTTTCATCCAAACAAACTTTAGACCTAATGTGCGAGTCAAAAATGTTACAGATGATAGATAAATATTACAGGTGATAGAGTCGAAAACCTATTCCGACGTTTAAAAATTCGTGTAAATCGATGAGCCAATAGTAAATCATTTATTTAAATAATTGCGTAACATAAGAAACAAGTATATATTTATAATTTACTTTAAATCCGTATGCAGTGTGTGGTCTCGTGGATAGTAAATTAGTTGCTGGCCTGCGGCGCAGGATCGATTTTCCCTGAGCGCATATATTTTTTTGTGTACTTTTATTTTATATTTTAAGGTGGCTCTACCCCTTTTTACTGAATTCTTTAAAAATCAATAAAAATGCCTCTAGAATAAGTTTACTGTAAATATATTTGATAAAAAAAAGTTTCACAAAAATTTTTTTATAATGCCTTAAAAAAAAAGCTGTGTCAGCAAAAATCATCAAATAGGTATAAAATTTCAAAAAAGAGTTACTCAGAATCTGAAAGTAGTATTTGAACCAAATTTTGACAGCTTTTGACATATTTTGATAGGTAAAGTAGTAAAGAACGTTCTCAACTAAAATTCAAAATAAACCAATCCATAATTGCTGACAATTTTTTTTGAACATTAAAAAAATTAGGTCATTTTAGAAAAATAAATTGCGATTAAACAAGTTCTGTTTGCTCTAAATAGCTGTTATTAGTTCAGAACCTAGTTTCAATTTGAAAGAAAGGTCTGTGAAAATATCAAATCGGTCAAATAAAAGTTAAAAATTAAAAATTGTCATTTGAATTCAAGTGAACATAACAAAAACTTATTTCTGAGAAAAACGAAAAATAAAATTTAAAATGAAATATAATATACAAATATGAAACTAATGTGCCCCAGAACTATAAATTTCACACTCTGTCTCTTTTTTTTTTGTTAAAGAATTATTTTTTAACAACACTTTTAATTTTCCTCAGTGTTTTTCTTTTCGCTCATTTTACTATTAACTTGATTGATACGAGTATTGTCCTTTTTGTTGCATTGGAGCTAAAGTATTTCCTAGCAGTCAAATTTAATAGTTTAAATACATTATCAAGTTTAATAACACCTTTGTAATTACCCATTGTATTTAATGATAGCAGAATATACTTCTATCTCTAAAACAGTTCGGGATACAAAATGAGACTTTGAGTGCTTATTTCAAACTAATTGGTTTAAAGCTTCATTTAGATTTTGGGTAAATCTATGTTAGCACTTTTATAGAAGATTTTCAGAGCCAAGATCTTTAAAGATTCTTTCAATTTCTTCTTTTATAGCTAGAGGCAAATTTAAATGTGCTTTGTAGGTTGTACCTTCAAGTTTATCTTGTACTTGTACCTTCAAATTTCTCTCTTTGCCATTTACATAAGCTCTTTGTTGTGCGAAGGCAAAACCAATCTTGCTGTAAAATTCATTACAGCTCATACATTGACTTCTTAAATGTGTTTATTTTTATCTCAGGAGACAAGTAAAAATTATAACTACAATTACAAGATATATTTTAGTTTAAGGTTATGCGAGAGCCCCAATTTTTTTATCTGGTCAAGACTGATAGTGACTTTGTCACCACAATTTAGACATGTACTTAAAAGTTGAAAAAAAAGACAACTTAGTATTCCAAAGTGAACTATTATAAAGAGGTTAGAATCTCCTTTGTCAACAGTTAGAACAGTCAACATGAAGAAACAGCTTCCTTTTTAGGTTTATCAATTTGGTTTATTGCAGTGCATGTATATCTTTTAGATCCAAATTAATGTCTTTTTCTGTTTAATCTTATTTTATTTTAATTATTACTCATATTTAATAACTCTATAAACATATAAAGAATAAATGCAGTTATTTGTATTACTGAGATAGATAAAAAATATTGGAAGAAATCACTATAGCATCTGTGTTGACATCAACACAATATAAACAACATTCTTTCTATAATGGTATGTCATCATTAAAATCAAAACTATAACTTGTAAATAACAGATATATGAGTGAATATAATAATACAAAATAAGTTTTGACAGAATATAAAGAAGTTTGAAACAAAAATAAATTTTAATTATTAAAAAAATTTAAGTTTAATTAAAAACTTCATTAGTATTTGAATACATTTTTTAAAATTCCAACGCACTAACGTTTTACGACTTCAGGAAAAGTCATTCAAACAATTAATTTCAATAGAATATGATCAATGAAGCATTACGAAAAACATTGAAGTCATTAAAGCGCTAAACAGATATTTAGTCTTAAAAAAAGCTAATTAGAAAAGGCCGGCTTCTTTATAGCATAAAAAAGTGGCTCTTTCAAAAAATTGTATGGTAAAAAAAATAACCTGAAATTAAACATTTTTTACCAAAACTTTAATTTAATATTATTTGTGGAAAAGAAGGACACACACACAGATATATATATATATATATATATATATATATATATATATATATATATATATATATATATATATATATATATATATATATATATATATATATATATATATATATATATATATATATATATATATATATATATATATATATATATATATATATATATACCCTTATAGTGTAGTCGAAAGAGCGTTTTAATGTAAAAAAAGTCTCTTACGACTACAATTTCAATTACCTCGTCTCTTAAGCTGTTTTTGATTGTCATCGAAATGTCAAAGCAATTAATTTATGCGGAAGTACATTAAAATTAATTGTTTTTTAAAAAATTTTTAAAAAACCGCAATTATAACGACTAGAAAGTTTTTTTTAATTAGTAGTGTTTTTGTTATTGATTTAATAAAAAACATTTTTAAAACATGCGTAAATGTTGCTACATCGACTATCTTATAGCCTGACTCGCAACGGAGTGCTGCTACATCGACTGACAAATAGCCTGACTCGCAACAGAGTGCTGCTACATCGACTGACAAATAGCCTGACTCGCAAGGGAGTGCTGCTACATCGACTGACAAATAGCCTGACTCGCAAGAGAGTGCTGCTACATTGACTGAGGGTTTGGTTTGGCCAGGCAGTCTATCAATTAAAAAAAAAAATTTAATTTTTGAATTTTAAAACTTTTTCTGGTCTGGTTTATTAACGCGCTCTTTAAAACTACAGTTTATGGGAAACTTTTTTTGATGCCACGCAAGAGACATGCAAGAGTATATATATATATATATATATATATATATATATATATATATATATATATATATATATATATATATATATATATATATATATATATATATATATATATATGTATGTATATATATATATAAATATATATATATATATCAATTGACAATATATGTTTTATCAAATAATACAATACTCTTTATCTTAAAAATAAATAAGTAAACCCCCAAAAAATTACTTTTTATTTTCAAAGTTTTTAGTGCACTTTTGCGACGCTATTTATTTTAGTAAAACTCTAAATTTTTTGTGGGTGGCAGGTATCCAGCGTTGCTACACAAAAAGTAAAATGCAATTATGGTCGGGTGCCAGTACGTTAGATATAATGGCATCGGCTCTTTCAAAACCTACCTCTTTCGTACACACTCTCCCCTACATATATCAACTGACTAAATCGGTAACTAAATAAATAGGTAGAACATCCAGGAAATAAACATACATCAACTGACTTAAATAGGTAAAACATGCAGTGAGTGTGCATACATCGACTAAGGGTTTCGGTATGGGTAATCAACAAGTTAAAAATTTAGTTTGTGTTCAAAAGTGTTTTAAAAATCAAGGCAAACACTTATTTTGTTATATTCCGGTCATCAATTTATACAAAGCTTTGAATGTCGGAATAGGTTTTTGACTATATCGTCTTAAGTCGTCTAAAGTCCTAAAGAGACAAAAAAACAAAGCTTTTTGATTCTATCATCTACCGTCTCTTTAATAAACTTTATATAAGAATCATTAAATTAAATTACGCAGGAAAAGAAGATTTTGTTAAGAAAAAAAATAGACAAACTTTTTTGTAAGCTGTTTGAATTAAATAACTTTGATCTTTATTACGTTCTTACTTTATTGAAATGTATTTAAATAAAGTAACAAGTCCACAATGGTTTTTTGTTTAAAGTATTAATGAATATCTTATATATTTTTTATATCTATGTATTTTTGATTTAGGTGAGCAGTGTAACTATACTTTAGGTAAGCAGTGTGACGCCATACCGAAATAGCCTGCTGTCTGTCTCAATACATACATCGACTGACAAAAGCCTGACTCGCAGCGGAGTGCTGCTACATCGACTGAGGGTTTGGCATGGGGAAGCAATCTTTTCATTCATTATTCTTTGTTTTTTTTTTTCTTTTTCTAAAAAACCCATATCGATTTAGATAAGCAAAAAAGTGAGCGAACAAATATTCTTAAAAAAGTGAGCTCACATAAATATGCTTATATATTATACATAAGTATGTTTATATATTTTTATAAGTAAGTATTTTTTATCAAAAATGTCTTTAAGTGAAAATATTATATCAACTTTTCTAAAAAAACGATTTAATTATTTTTTCTTTTGTTTACGTTACTGTATTATTTGTATTAATTAAGTTTTAATTTTATTTTTCTTGAAAAATAACTAAACTAAAACTAAAAAATGATTTTAGTTTTTGGTCAGGTCCCGGTGGGAAATTGGCTAGCGAATAGCAAGCTATAATCGTTACGATAAAGACAGCGATTTGGCCACGAGGATCGCTTGCTTTTTTAAGTTAGCGAAAAGCTATCGATATTTGTAAAGATAAAGACAGCGATTTGGCTACGAGGACAGCTAGCTTAATAAGCTAAAGACTCACAGGCTATTGTAGCCACCGTCATATCGTAATAAAATCGCTATCAAAAAAATTTTGGTATGTAGTTATCAACCAGCTATAGATTTGTAGATATTTTGTAGCTAGATATAAAGCTACGATATGTAGCTAGCGACACATTGCTACAAAATCGCAATGTTTAAAGTTCAATTATTCTCATAATTATAATAGACTCAACACTAGAAATTGAATTTTTAAAGATGCTAGAGACATTAGTAAAGAATAAAATAAGGAAAAAAAATCGCTTGAAAATCGCTATAAAGCTAGCTAGTCGCAAGCTCAATTCCCACCGGGGTTTTTTTTATTTTATTTTTTGTTATTTTTTTTTTACGAAGATTAGTTTGCTTCTTTTTTTTTTTTTTAAGTTTCTTTATTGTTAAGATTTATAAAAAGATTTTACAGTTAAAGAGAACTTACAGTTTATGTCCTCATCTGTGTTATTGTTGTCATATAACTTTGTATGATTTTTTGCTTCATCTTCATCAATTATATTTTCAAGTTCAATGTCATCATCTTCATCGTTAAGCTGTTTGGTTTGATCACTTTTTTGAATTTTATCTTCTAGAGGATTTAAATGTTTTTTTTGGGGGATATCTTCAATAAAGTCTGAAAGACTTTTTTGAAAACTTTTTTTTTCTTCCAACGCAGCTTTTTCTTTGTAGTATTGATCAACAAAATATTTTGGAACGTTATCTAATAAATTCACAACTTGCTTGATTTTGTTTTCATCTTCAAGTTCTATAAAATTTTAATAATTATTTTAAATTACAAATTTGTTAGCTTTTATTAATCATTTTTTATTTATGGTTTTAATCATTATTTTTATAACAAAACAAAGTTTTAATGATGCAAAAAATATATCAAATATTTAAAATATTAAATTATAAATCTTAAATATAAATTTATAGTTATATGAAAAGAGTAAAGGATGTTGCGTACCATTTGAATCGAAACTATTTTCATTTCCTAATAGCTCCTTTTCTTGCGAAGCAGTATCTATTCCACGATCAATTTTTGGTTTGATTTTGTCATAAAGGTTTTCTTTTTCATAAAGGTTTTCTTAAAATAAAATTAATTTTGTCATAAAGGTTTTTTAAAATAGTGTACAAGTAATATAAAATCATTTGAACATTTTATTATCGTCTTGTGATATTTTCAGAATACCTAACTTATCAAGGTTTAAAATTGTGAAAAGTAATATATTTATATTTATTCAATTTATTATTTTTCACAACTTTGAACCTTGATAATTATTCAATATTTGTTTAATAAGTTTACCAATAAAATAGTTTTTCTAGACAGTAGAAAATGGGTGTGTCTAGATAATTATAGGTTAGTTGGACAATATTTTGCCATATTACCAACAAAAAGCTAACAAAACTAACTTGTTATATAAAGCTGCTTAACATTGTTAGGCAGGATTTGATAAAACCAGCCATGGGCGGTTGCACAATCGATTTAAATGGAGAGAGTATCCCAACATTTATGGACTGCATGCAATAAGTAGTATAGCAAGGAAGCTTAGCAGACATTACTTCATTCTTTTTAAAGAAATATTTGACTTTGTTAAGCATGCTCAATAGAGTTTGCTAGCAATAAATTTCGTGAGTAGTATTTTTCCTTTGTTAGTAAAGTTTGTGTGATTTATTAACACAAACTTTACTAACAAAGGAAACATTTATAACACAGAAGGACTCATCCTGTCAATTACCAAAAGCATTACTATATGCTTCTATCATAAAGTTATCCAATCACAATAACTTATAGGGAGAGATTGTTTTAAGTTGCTTACTATATTTGTTTCCAGCGATAGTTTATTAAAAGAAAAAATATTTATAAAAGTTTTATGGGGTAATTTTAAGCATAAAAAAAAGTGATTTTGTGCTTCAGCGTGCAGTTGTATAGATAAATTAACAAATGCAACGGGTCCAAAGCCACAATTGGGTCCAAAGATTTTTTACTGAAAAATTTTATGTAATTTTCTTTATAAATTTTAACAAATTAAATTATGATATGACATAGATGTGCTTTAATTAATTAAAAATAATCTAACTTAAAAAGAATTTAGTTTTCCATATTTAACATATTAAATGGGGCATTATATAACAAGTTATAAAAGAGCTGAATAAAGAAAAAGGTTCTAAAATACAAAAAAAATGTTTATCTTTTAAAACCTTTTTTTTTTATAATTATTTTAAACGAATTTTTTATTATTTTAAAGTTTGATAAAAGTTAAGTAGTAATGCAAATGTTCGATAAAAAAAAAATTAACGAAAGACACTAAGTTCAATAAAAAAGTCATAATAAGTTAAAAGCGTAAAAATCTTTTAAGGAAGTTTTAACAATTTTCCAGGAAGTTATAATAGTAATAGGTAAAAAGCGCCTATCAGGGGTGTGGAGTCGTAAAAAAAAAGTAACGACTTCGACTCCATTTTTTGAAATTTTTTGAGCACAACTCCGACTCCGACTCCAACTCCGACTCCAACTCCAAAGCAAAATTTTTAAAAAATTCTTTGAATTCTTTAAAAAATATTACGCGATAAATTAAAAATTTATTTTTTGACAAATTTATAAAACGTTCTTTGAGGTTTAGTATGAACATAAGGCTAATTGAATATTTTATACATGCACGTGCAATACCAACTATTGGAGTCGGAGTCACGATTTTGATTAGCGACTCCGACTCCGCTAAAAATGTTGCAACTCCGCAACTCTATAAAAGCAATATTTGTGCATAAGAGATGTATTTTTACTAAAAATAATGTAAAGTCAGTATAGACATGTAGATCTAATCACTTTTTCGCCTAAACCAATATTTATGAAAATATGACCGGTATGCCATCATAGGCGCCTTTTCCCTATAAAAGTATAATGAAAAAAAAGTTAAGTTTGCAGGCTTAAAATTCTTTGTTAAAATTAAAAAATAAAATATAAAAACTTTAAATACTTAATTAATAAAAATAATTGCAAAAAAAGTTGGTATAAACAACTAAAGTAGGGAGAGCGGGGTTGGTTGTCACACTTTTTACGATTCAGACTTCTAATATTTTATTTTTCATTAAATCAAAGCCAAACTTTGCACAAAGGTAGCACAAAGTTTAGCTATTTCCAGCACAAAGGTAGCACAAAGTGTAACTATTTCCAGCATCTGTTACAACAATTTCATGACATTGAAATAAATATATTTTGCTGTAAAATCATTTTTCAAAGACCTCTACTGCGTGACAACCAACCCCAACCAGGGGGTTGGTTGTCATAGAGTGTGGAATTGGTTGTCACATTTCTTGGTATGTTTGAATTATAACCAGTTAATGATAATTGAATACAATTTAATTTTGTTAATATAATTCTGAGACGAAAGTTTTTTAAAACAAAACTTTTTTTTAAATGATTTCACCTCCCTAAGGCCGAGGCCACTATAGTCGAGGAGGCTACTTATTGTGGTTATAACCCTCGTTCAACTCTCTAATTCCAAAACACTAAACTTGACAAATAAGGTCACTGTAAATAAATAATATGTAATATACTGAAAACATTAGTTTTCAGTATATTCCATATATTGAAACAAATATAGAAATGTAATATACTGAAAACATTAGTTTTCTTTCAAAAGTAAAACACAACTTACACTATAATAAGTGTTTTTAAAAATAGTATTTTAAGTAATGTTGCAAAAAGAACAAATATCATAAATAAACTGCATTAAGCCTGATGTGCATTCTTCATAAGTTCATTTTTTGCAAAGCATTGAATCCACTAATCTCTTGACCTGCTAATAGCAAATGGTTCAAAACAGTAGATACATAAATATTCTTCATCTTTAGATAAAACTGATTAAGTGCTTTTTTGTAACTGTCAAATGTTTTTTTTAGCAAACTTTAGGCGATCAGTTACATAATTAGGACAATAATCAGCATCAGTAAAAATATCAGGATTTAATGGGTAAATACCAATTGCAGCAAAACCACTTAAAATATTCTCAGGAGATCCGACTGTAATACAGCTTGTGATGACTTTTGAAAGACATAATGCAGCATTAACTAGGAATTTAAATAAGCGGTTTTTAAAAAATGCGCGCAGTCGAGGCAAACCTTTCTCTGTTTTTAGATTTACCCGAAAGCGTGTGAATTTTATAAGAATGTTTTATAGATTAAGTTTCTCAAATGGCTAAAAAAACTTTATAAATGTACATTCAAAACACAATAAAATAATTTAAATTAATTTTTTATGATTTTTTTATTCATTTATTTATTTTTTTAACTGAATTTAAATAAAAAACAAACATAAAAAAAATCTGTCAGCCAAGAATTTTTGTGTTTTTAAGTTATTACAATGAACACAAATCTTTTAAACAAAATTATAAAAAAGTTTTATTATGAAAGTATGATTTGAGATTTTTTAGCAAATTTAACTCTTAATTGGTTTCTTTAAATTGGTTACCAGTTTTCTGTCAAGAAGTTTGGGCTTCATTTGCCATGGTAACACTTTTTAATCTCTTGGTACATTTGCCATGGTAACACTTTTTAATCTCATGGTAACACTTTTTAATCTCAAAAGTCTGATGAAAAGTATACTTAGATTTTGTGATAGTTGAAGTACTGGTTGGCTTTCATCATGTGAGATAAGTTCTGTATTTGAGGATATGTTTGGATATTGAAGAGTTATCTTCCTTTAACTTTTCTGTACTTCGTAATATCAAGCATACAAAGCAACAGCCATCGTGGTGGTTTATCGGTTTTTCGACTCTCCATACTCTGGGGAAGGCAAAATGCATTTCCTTTCTTTCTTCTACTTTATAACCATCCTGTTTTACGAAGTAGAAAAAAATCCAGAGTATCATCCAGAATGCACTGTATGATACTCTAGATTTGAGGCACTGAAAATATATGGACGCTCAGTTGCTGGTTGACGCTAAAAAAAGTTATAACTTTAAAACGGTCGATAAAAAAAAAAAGATTTTCGGAATTAGCAGAGAAAAATAAATATTATACAATAAAAAATTTAAAGCAGGCAAATGTTTTGTAACATTGAGAGAATGTAATTCACAATTAATCATTCTTTACATGTAGCAACAAAATTCTTAATAAACAACAGTAGGTTGCCGACAAACTTTCTGTAGCTCTTCCCAATAAGATCAGGCTAGGGGGAGGAAGAAGTGTATGAGTTCTTTTAAGAAAACCTCATTTAAAAATTAATTTGCAAATTTGGAATTTTGCCGGTAAATTTGAAACTTTAGTTGGCTAATTAATTAACGAGGATTTTTTTAATTTGATTTCTTCGGGATGTCCCTGCATATGATTATCCGAAAATACTCCAATTTATATAAAAAACACTATAATTTAGATTATGCCAGCAAAGTTCTAGTATTGGAGCAAAAGCTTTTAAACTGCCATAAGTTTTGAAAGAATATGTACTGTACTTAATTTTTCAAGGATAATTTTATAACTTTTAAGTTTATTTTAAACTATCAGCTTAAGTCTAAGATAAAGAAGGAAATATATTTACTTTTAGAACTGTTTTAAAAAAGTAAATGAATAAACATTACTGAGGATATAAATTGATTTTAAAAATCTTTATAATATTGCTATACAATAAGTATCAAAATAAGTATTATTTATAATCATGATTGGATACATAAGTTTTAATTATGATTGTAATAATAATGATTTCAAATTTTACAATGTTTCCAATTACATCTATTGCATTAAAATCCTTTGAGCTAAGCGAATAAATTTCGTTGATTTATCAAAGAGGCTTGGTTAGAGTTTCTTTAAACTCAAAGTCTTTGTCTTTTTTTATCACATGAGTTTGGAATAAAGGATTGTAAAATTTCAACAAATATAAATGCAACTGATATAGGCAAACTTATATTATTAAGAGTTGGTCTCATAACTCAAAATAAATCAGACTATATATAAAGAAAAAACCGTTTTCAATTTTAATTTATACCAATAATTTCTGTAAGACAAAAATAGCATTTCAAAATGCAATCTCTTTGTTTTGTTCAAGGTACGAACACAAACGACAAATGACGGAAATATAGTTTCTGATTGGTTAACTTCTTTACACATGTTATGTAACAAACTAGAGGGTATTGATTGAAAACAACGATATGAAAATACTGATGATAATTATACAAGATCAGTTTCGTGAAATTTTGTAGGCAAAAGTTTGTACTTTACTTAAATCAAATTTATATTATGAGATGGCTCAGCGTTGCATTTATTAGAACTGAATTTTTTTTTTTTTTAAAAAAAAAAAAATCTTTATTTAAAATTGGTTAGCATTATAAATAATGAATTTTACAATTTTATCTATTGTTAAATGATGAGTAAAAGTTAGGTAAAAACGCAGAAAAAAGAATTGATCATTTATGTGTTGAAAAAGCAACAGAGCTGCCAATGTTTGGTGGGAGGTAAAGATCACTGACGCCATCGCGAAAAAAACGTAGGTATTTTTGAACAAACGATTGCTGATAGGTAGTAGTGATTGCGGTATTTAGAGCGAATGGGAATCTGTTTGGGTTTCTGCTATTGGTGCGAGGTAATTTAGTGGTTATTGGATGGTTTGTGTCTGCAAGGATCTTTTTAAGGATATTAATACATGTCTTGTCAAGTAGTTCTTTAATGTCAAGACAAATATTGAGACGGCTTGGTTGCATTAACTCCAATGATGTTTAAGGCATTTTTGTGGAAATGTTGAATCTATTTTTTTGAGGTAAGAACTGGGGCACTATATATCATGTGGCTAATAGCGTAAGATCTGTAGACTTGTAGTAGATTGGGCTAAGTGTGTCCGATTTGCTTGAGGCGCTTGAGTAGAAATGGCACTAATTTTATAGTGTTGTGCACCTTTATCCATTGTTCATCCCTATCAAGAATCTCATTGAGCAGGATTTCGAGATATTTATAGTTGTATACAATTTCGAGTTCAGTTTTATTGAGTATGGGAGATGGTAAAGCATGAGTGTTGGAGCACTTTTATATATATATATATATATATATATATATATATATATATATATATATATATATATATATATATTTAATAAGCTACTTTTTACTTTTACTTAAGTAAACATTTTGACCGGTAACTTTTACCTGTACTTAAGTAAAATTTCACTCAAGTACCAGTACTTTTACTTAAGTAGAATTTTTTTTTACTTTTTCCACCTCTATATATATATATATATATATATATATATATATATATATATATATATATATATATATATATATATATATATATACATATATATATATATATATATATATATATATATATATATATATATATATATATATATATATATATATATATATACATATATATATATAGGTAGTTAGAGTGGCTTCCGGAATGGCGAACACATTTTTTTAACAAAAAATTTTATGGGGCTGTCCATTGAGTATGTCAACAAATTTTTTGAATTTTTTACCTCCCTCCCTCCCCCTTGTCAACAATTTGTCAAATTTCCAGAGACCCCCTATAAAATTACGTCAATTTTTGATTACCCCCTCCCTCTATACAAAGAAACTACGCTACAAACTCAGCCTAATTTTTCGTTATTTAAGCAATAAAACTAAAAATAAAAAAATTCTTGACGTCAACTTTAGTTGACCTCCCCCCTCCCCTGTGTCAACAATTGTCAAAGAAGTTCAGACCCCCTCCCCCTATTTTGTTGACGTAATTAATGGACAACTTCTATCGAAAAAAAAGATTGAAAAAAGCTGTTTCAATGAAAACTTTGGGAGAAAAAAACAAAAAACACTAAATAAATAAAACGAAAAGAAATACTAAAAAAAAATTGAAGTAAAGAACGCAGAGAAAAGAAAAAGAATTTAAAAAACTTAAAACTTAAATAAACCGAAAAGCAGCTACCACAAAGAAAGTAAGAAATTTAAAAGTTAAAGTAACGTAAAAAGAACATAAGTGAAGAAAAAATCTATAGATTAAATAAAGTAAAAATTCGAGTGAGAAAAAGAACTATGTGTGTGTGTTTTCTGTATGCATATGTATGCATGTGTGTATGTACATATGTATGCATGTGTGTATGTTTATTTTTTAATATTTAATTTTTATTAGTTTGCTTTATTACATTAATGATTTTTTTTAAATTTTAGTAACATTAATTTAATGTCTTGTTTATAATGTTTTTTGTTTGTTGTAAGTTTTTGTTTTGTCTTTTGATTTTTTCTGTTTATATTTTATTTATTTCTTTAATATATTTTCGTTATTATATTATAACAATTATGATTATTATATTTACTAAATCTTTATCATTTTTTAACAATAATCGTTTTTATGTTATCGTTGTTGCGTTCGTCAGTCATTACTGTTTGTAATTGCACCTATGTATGAATAAACGCTGTATGCAAGGTAATATTGATTTAATTTAATTATTATAATTACTTTTTTATTACTATTCTTACTATTAGCAATTTATTTAATATTGCAATTATGAATGTATTGTATTTATTATCATAATATATATGTATTGTAGTTATTTTTATTGGGTGTTCACTTGAAATTAGTTTATATTATTTGTGAATAACCTTGTCTTTTTATTATTATTACCTGCAAATTATGATTTTTACATTTTTGTTTTTTTAATGTTTGTTGTATGTCTATATGCTTATTATTAGTCATATTATATTTAAAAATTGGTGTCACTCCTTTGATCAGACTTCTGTATGAGTGACACCATTCCTATACATCATTAACTTATTATTATAAAATAATATTATACTTACAACTATTATTATATTATTTATTACTATTTTTTTTTTTTTGTTATTTTTGTCCTTTATTATAATTATAAATTTCTATTACTCTTAATTAATTTGTTATCTTATTATATTTTTATAATTATTATTATAGTTGTGTTGTATTGTTGATGTTATTATTTTTATTACTATTGTAATAATGATTATATATGGAAAATAAATAGCTTGTTGTTGTTGCTTTATATATTCTATATAGTATTTGTATTATTGTATTATAGTATTTAGATTTTATAAAAATTATTGCAATTTAATAAACATACACTATATTTAATAAACATAAACTATGTTTATTGACCATACACTAATTAATCCATAAGTAACTATTATTGATGTTTGTTTTGCTTGTGGTTTAATGTTTCAAGATTTAAAAAAGATTTTATTTAAGTTATACAATTTTGCAGTTGCAAAACTCGGTTGTTTATACTCGGTGTAGTTAAAGCAATTTAAAAATATAATAGCGTCTGTATGATTATTTGTTGACTACGACATGTTTCCGTTAAATTGTCTGGTCTGTGAATTATGAAAAGACGAAAAATATTAAAATGAAAAATTTTGCGGTATCATAAAATATAAATGTTTATAACGAAAAAACCCAGACCGAAGATTCTTTTTTTGAAAAACAATTGTCTTGAAACCGCAATCGCTCGTCTAAATTTTTATATTAATACGTTTTTTAGGTGAAATGAACATTATAGTTTAATAAGATGATCTGCTCTGTTTGTTTATTGGCAATTTTCCATAATTATGAGCTCATAATTGGTCGGAATTCTAGTATTTTTTGTGAAAATTGATAGAAATATTGTGTTTTGACAACTAGATATAGTTAATATACCTTAGAACCGATTAGAACTAAGATCATTAGTAAATTAAGGAACTTTTTCAAAAGATTTTAACTAAATTCGTGTTAACGCCGATAAGTGGAATTGATCCAAAGACTCTAAAATAGTGTTCTATAGATTTACTATTACGGGTAGTAAAAAGGTTTTGAAAATTATATATAAAAAAGAAAAGTTACTTTAAATATAATATAAACCTTAAGCAAAAAAAAATTATAAGATTTAAAGATCTTGTTTGGACATAACCATCTTGTGCTGACAAAACCATTTCAAATAAAAATATTTGAATATTTTGTAAATCGCCTTAACTACACCGAGTAGTGGATCAGCGTTGATGCATATGCAGAGAATCAACGTTGGATTATACTCATTGAATCAACGTTATGTTTAGATCGTAAAAACTATCAACTTTTGCGATATTTTTACATAGGTTTGGCCAATGTAACAGTGTAAACTTTTTTTAATGGTGTTGGTATTAATCTTTTTATTGATAACACAGCTAAAAAAAAAGATTTATTTTATTGTTCAAACAATAAAGTTTGCGGAATGAACTTGAGTAAAGCAAAATAGATGAAAGAAATTTTTATTTTCTTACTTTTTTAAATTCATTTTCATCTTATATCTCTCCTATCGAAAAAAATGAAAAAAAAAAAAATGTTTTTAAAAACTTACTAGCTTCAGATTCAGTTTCAATTTTTAAAATATTTCTTAATTCGTTGTTTACATGGTCACCGTCATCTACAAATGAAAGAGTAAAAATGAACTAATATTTATAAGGTTATAAGAAATAAAGTAGATAAATCATAAATATTTATGCTGATAACAAATTTAAATATTTAATATAAATATAAAAAGATTAGATGCATTATAAATAACTCGTTGTAAATAAGTTATTTTTAAAGCATCTATTTTGATTAAATATTACTATATAAAATTTTATAATACATAATAATGTATTTGATGAAAGTATTAATTTAAATGCAGTAAATATCCAGGCAGGGCAAGGCCAAGGGCAAGGCCAGGCAATATCTCTGGCATCCAATACAATAATAAATCTACGTAATTTAATTTCTACATAATTGTTCTATATATAGTGTTGCTCCAATTCTATATATAGTGTTACGCTATATAATTGAATAATTCGATTTTAAATGATAACAATTTTTATGCTGATAACAAATTTAAACATTTAATATAAATATAAAAAGATTAGATGCATTATAAATAACTCGTTGTAAATAAGTTATATAGACTTGTCAAAACAACTAAAAATAGGTTTAGAAAAAAATTTCTAGATATTACGCAATGCTAAATATTAAAAAAATATTTCGTAAACATTCGTTCCTTGGCACGGTGGTTGTCATCAATTTTAAGCGCTATTTTGATTTAATTAAAGACTTTGCAAGGTTGAACTTACGGTTTGGAAAAAAAGATTGATCACCTCCTCCCTCCCCTCACTTCTGCAGCACGGGCATGGAGATTGAAAAAATTCCGTGGCATAAGGAACTTTATATAGCTTCTTTTTAAAGTCTTTAACATCCTTTAACATGATACAACAATTTCTGTATTATCAGTACTCATGTTAGCCATAATACTATAGCTGTTGAATTGAGTTACAAGTTCTTTCCTCTTATTAAATACAGCTTTGCATATTTTAAGTAATTTTGCTTTTGTAACAATATTAAAGTCAATTACTGGAGGGGGAATACTTCCTAATTTTAAATCTTTTGGAAAAGAAACAGAAAAAAGGTGGCTATTAGTTTGAGAAGACTTTGCCTTATGGACTATTAATGTATGCTTTTACGATGTTGTCATATGTCGTAAAAGATCTCCCATTTCAGATTTTAGTTCAATAATGCATAACAAGCATTTTATACGTTTACCAGGTTAATCTAGTTTAATAAATTTCTCAGATTCTAACATATTTATCTGATCGTTCCACTTTTTTTGTAATCATACTTTATTTTGATCCGAGCATTTAAGAAACCTCTAGTCTAAAACGCATTGTAACGAATGCAACGATCATATAGTCAATGGATCGGCATGACACTAGCCTCGGTAAACATCGGCAATTGTTTTGAGAATGCCATTTTATTTTACTTTTGTGTTTAGATTTTGTATACAAACATAAAATAATGCCGCAAATAACTTAAATACAGGGTATAAACTATTACATTGTATTTAGGTTATCTAATTTATTATATGGTGTGTGCAGACACTAAACCTTTTGAAATTTTTTTCGAAATATTTCTTATATTTTTAACAACGGCTACTCGTATTTTTAGTTTATTTTTGTTTAAGTGTTACGTATCTAACTTTTACAAAAAAAGAGGTTTCAAGTCAATCAAATCATGTAAATTAAACTGCTCTTGGTTCACATTTTACATGTTTATAAATTATGTCCTCAAGCGTAGATTGATATTTTGGGCTAGTGTAACTGGCAACATTTTTATCACACTCTTTGCTGTTATCGTTTTCTTTAAATTACCTAATAATATTTTTCTATGTTAATTTATTTTAAACATTTTATTTTTTAATCTTTTGAGTGTTTAAATATGATGTTTTCATATGGAATTTTGAATTGGATGTTTATTTTTTCTATCAAGTGTTTCTCCTTTTGGTATTTTTATTTTGCAAACTTTACTAATTATTTTTGAACGATTTTTTTTTTCATCACATTAAAAACCCAGCTGTTTACTTTTCTCATTGTTGAATTTTAACTATGTTATCTATAAATTTAATTCCTCAATTATAATTCGAAAATCACATTACAAATAATCTTATAAGATATTATTATAAGATGCACCCATATTTTAAATATAAAACCCTATATGTGCGTTATGCGGTTTCTCCCATAAGGCCTTCTAACATGGATATATGAGCCGCACGTACGCAGATGAAAGCCTTTGTCTTGTAATTGAGACTTGCACGGTAACAAGCGAAAGGCCATACATTATTAATTATGGCCTTTCGCTTTGTACATTCCGTCTCTGGAACAAAATTGTTTTGGCTAATTTTAATTTTGATCTACCTACTTCTTTGCATCTTTTTAAAGTTAAGCTGAAAAATCTTATTCTCTCCCGTATAATCAAAATTTGACAATAATATTTATATTATGGAAATATTTATTAAACTTTATTATTTATACTACAAAGTGATATATGTATGTATATTTTATTTTTATTTTGTTGTTGTTATAGTTACTATATAACCTAATATTTTGTTTAAACTAGTATAAGGTTGTGAAGGTCTTAATGATCTTCTTTCAGATAGCTTTTCAAGAGTTAGTAGTATTTGCTTACTTTTTAATTTGTATTAATCTTTTATTTACTCTCATTATATTGTAAAAACGAACAAACTAATGTAAACTAAAATATTAAAAAAAAAATTAATTCTTTATAAAAATTATAAAATAATAACTTGCTTGAACTCGCGAGTGTATCTTTTATCATTTGGCGGATATAGCTTTCTATTTGATCTTTGTTATCCACTAAAATTTCTTTTAAGACTCTTTTTGTCAAAGCTCTTTTTTCTTGATTGGTCATTCCAACACTGTAACCATAGCAAGCCATCAATGCTACAACCATAATGAAAAACTTCATTTTTTTCCCGATCTCTCAAAACTAAATAACAAACAAATTATTTTAAATTAAAAAATATATTAAATAAATCAAAAAATAAGTTCATAAAAAATATTGGAAAATAAAAAATAATAATTGTTCGAATAAATAATTTTGAAGTAATTGGCTAAAAAAAAATGACTTCAAAAAAAATAAATAAGGTCTTAAAAATTATTTTGGGGTAGTTTTGCCACCTCCCTCCCGATAAAATTCCTTTTTGTGTATTTTGATAATATAATTATTTTATTTCCGAATCGACGCATTTTCAAAAAAGTCAATCTCAAAAATAATAAAGAAGTTGATCTTTATTTTAGCAGATGGTACCAAAAAAGTTTATCCATTATGACGCCGTGGCAACCGTAAAAAATTTGATATTTTAAAAAAAGTATGTCTAAAAAAGGGTTTTAAAAATTTAACAGTTATAAAAATACTCCGGATAAATGTATGTTATTGACAATTTAAAATACTAGAGAAGTTGAGGCAACTGCCAACTAGGCAACTGACTATGGGCGCCAAAAAATAAAAGGGGCGTTTGTTTTTTTATTTTCATTGAAAAGTTATTTATAGAGTAGTTATGTATTTTTTATATTTTATTACGAAATTTTAGGTTACAATTATTCAGATGCCTAAGAACGCCATCAATCCGACAACATCACGAATACGGGTTTGGTTATAGAAGCATAATCTGGTTAACTAGGTAACTTGATTATCTATGTAGTTTTGGAAACAATACAGATTTTACAACACAATTTCTGCAAAATAAAAAAAAAAAATTAAAAAAAATAATTTTGAAGTTTTTTATTTTATGTTAATATATTGTTTATTTTCCACAAAAAAATTGGCGATTGAAAAGATTCAGTTGTGCAAACCATAAACAACTTGATTACAATTACATATTTAAAATAGCATCAAAATTGGAATTAATGTCTGAAATAACAATTGACGGTAAATTCTAATATTGACCTGTTGTGGAGATGATTAGATTTGGAATGACTGCAATAACATGTTGCTCAGGTACTCAACAAGTGTCCTTCGTGCTAGGCCTATAAAATGACTGAGCCATACCATGAGGATGCGTAAAATCAATGAAAATATCTTCCTTTTTTTTCTGAAAATTCCCAAACATTTCAAATCCACCAATGTGCATCGTAAATACATGCAACAAAATTTCCAGGACTAAGATCAGACACTGAAACTAATTTGGTTGAGTTGTTGTTGTAACTTTCATTAACGTTTGCAATAAAAGATGTATTGTCATTTGAAATACGTCTGATACAAACCTGGTTTTTATTTACAGGCACAAATTTGTAGTTATTGTGAGTACCTGCAACTGTGTTTCTAGTACTAAGTCGTTTCTCTTGATTGCCTTTTACACTGTCTACTTCATCACTGGCAACATAAATAAATGAAATACCCGCGAAACTTTCCTTAAAAAAGTTATGTAAATTTAAGGGCGTTAAAATTTGAATATCAATTAGCAGTTGAAGACTTACACGTGCTTCAAAGTTCCTCCAATTCCATCACTGGGAGATTTTCTATGACAAAGAAATTTTAGTCTGCTTTAATGCCATAGTCAGTGTCATGGTAACATAAATTCATAAAATTTTTAAAGTTTTTGTACTATGCAGCTGAACCGTCACTGAAATAATGAATAAGTTCAAAAGACAAATTAGTTTTAAGTTCAGCTATTAACTTACCTAGAAATACATGAACAGAAATAGTATAGTGCTCCATGCAATCACTGATAAAACAGTAACATGTATTTTTAATTAGGTCATTAAGTTTATAGTAAACAACAAAAGGATGCAAAATTGTTTGGTTGTTTTTCTAGTAAAACCCTTGAACACCATCATGCACAGCAAACAAACAGTTTTCAGAAAAATCCATCCAAATGAACAACTTATTTGAATTCACTTCATTTTTTAATAACTGCAAATTATTGAAAAATGTTTTAGTTGTTTTAGTTTTTGACAATAAAATCATGCTTAAATAAAACAGATACTTTTGAAAATAATTCATCTATGAAGTCGTCTTCTGGTAATTGCAAAAATTCCAAAGTTTCACGATCTACTTTTATCCATTGCTTAAATGTTAAAAGCTTCATCAGATTCAAAATCTTTAAACTGCTCTTCAAGATAAGCTTTTGAAATTTCAGTCGCTGGACATTTATCGCAGAGATGAAGCATGCATTCTTTATATTCAAAGTCACAAACTATTTTCAGACATTTATAGTCTACCGTAACTGGGCTACTAGCAAGCATTAATTTTATATTCTGGTGAATAGTGCATAAACAAATACGATGAGTACCTGACGATCTAATAGTTATACACCATTTTGGACGAAAGTCACAGAATTTAGAAAATCCAACTTTAGCTCCATTTTCTCTTTTATACTCCAAAAAAAGTTTCTTTAAATTAACTAAAAGTAATTTTTTTGCATGTGCCCTTTTTTAGCATAAATTTGCACAGATAGAAAATCTTTTTTCAATGGACATGTTCTGCTAAAAGCTTCGAGTTCATAAAATTTTAAAATTTTTTCTTTAATATTACATCTTTAGCTCTACATGGCTATAGTTAATTTATGGACCTTAATATCAATTTTTATAATATCAAAGACTTTGTAGACCTAACATAGTTCATAAAAAATAGATTTTTTTAATTCATAGGAAAAATCTCTCCAAAATGGTTTTTATTGTTTCTAGAAGTGTGAAGTATGCTCTTTCCAACAATGCAAATAAAAAACAAAAAAAAATTTCCACATTGAATTTAAGGGGTTTAAACACACATTATTTTAGGGGTATTTCACTTTTTTCGTTATATTGCTTTTAAAATAACTCAAAAGAGATATTTATAAAAAAGCTGATTTTTATTCCATATCGTAGAACCTTTAGACAAAATGACAATACTAAAAAACCTTTTGTTCTGGAGATATGGCCCTACAAAAAACAGAAAAATTTATGGTGTTGAATTTGTGACGTGATTTGGTGAACCATAGACTAAAATGTAGGCATAATATGAAACTTGTATTAATTTTTTTTTAATCACCACCCTTGGTTTACTAAGAAACCACGTTTTAAAGATATATTATACGTTCATTACGAAAATATAAGACTCTAAAAATACAGTTTTTATCTACAGACTGATATTGAAGATTGGGTAAGCCTTACAAAAAGTACCAGAAAAACCAAAATAATAAATATTTTGATCTAAAAGTTTGGTAATGTTCATGAAACATGTTTAATAACATATTAACAAAGATTTTCATAAAATTTTGAGTTTAGGTCGAGCGGGAAAGATTTCGGAAATTGGACCGTTTGGCCTGGAATGACCCTATAACTTAACAAGTTTAATGAAATATTTGAATTTTTTCTATAAAAGCCACCTAAATATTTATAAATATTAAATTTTTTCATGCATAACTTTCACAATATATAAAAATAGAGTTTAGGTTTGAATAAAGTGGAGGTGGTGGTGATGTATCATTGATAAAAAGTGGTGAAACCAAGATAGTTGAAGTAGTAGCTGAGGTGTAATCGTTTTACATTAAAATTATTTTTCTTAAAATTAGGTTCACACGAATAAACCCTTCCTTGCATGATGACGTCCAAAAAACGTTTTTTAGACGTCATCTGTTTGATGGCTTAACAAATGAAGCCACTAGATTACAAATTAGATATTTGCAATAAACCAGACCTATCCCATATTAAGTCATAAAACATTAAATAAATGAATATAAAACTAATAAAAGGTAAAATAATATTTATATTTGATTATTTTTTCAGCTTTATTAAATAACACAAATGTTTTGAAGTTAAGTTTAACGTAAATTTTTTTTTTCCTGATACAAACTTTTATTGCAGTTATTTTGATGTTGCGTAGATTTTAACTATCCTAAAAAATTTTGTTTGAATTATATATTACATGGCTAGTATATTCTAAGACAAATACTTTCTGATCACAAGTTAGTTTAATATATATGTATATATATATATATATATATATATATATATATATATATATATATATATATATATATATATATATATATATATATATATATATATATATATATATATATATATATATAAAAGAGTGTTAAGAAAGATTCAAAATAAAAAAAACAAACTTACAAATTTCTTTTACGTTTTTAAAAAAATGTATTGCGTGTTTGTCAAAAAAAAAGATTGAATCATCTTTATTAATATAGGGATATAGATCTTTGAGGGGCTTAACTCCAAACAATACTCCTAATTGTGCGCGGTAATCTTCAAGAATTAAGCATATGTGCTCATTCAAAATCATATAACTATGACAATGTTCAAATATAAAGATAACTTAAAATTCTTTATTGTTTCTTTTAACTACAAAAATACTTTAACAACATAATAATGCGTGATATATTTTACTTAACTGAATCAAAATTGTTCGTTTACATTATTTTATCCGGAAACCTTTTTTTTCTTTTTTTTTTTTTTTTACAGTTGCAGCTCCACTGGTGTCTTTTAGAATCCGAATAAATTGTGATCAATCAAAAGTGAATCAAAATTGTGATTAAGTCAAAAAAGGAAACTTTTTTAATCAACATTAAGCTCGTTTAACCAACATTTGTTGGTTAACAAATTGATGAAGTCAAAACAGTATAATACCAAATAGCGCCAATTTTAGAGCCGAATAACATTGACAGGCATTTCAAACTATCTCTGTTCATCTTTACAATCAGGAATTGTATCATTATTGCTATTTGTTCTTCTAATTAAGGTTTTAAAATAATTGCTCCTATGCCATACAAACTTCCATAATGTGAGTTAGTATTTTAAAGTCAACTAAACTATCTGAACAATAAAAAATGTTTGATTTATATGTTTACAAAAAGTTCAAATATTTTAATATCAGAAACATTTTACTCCGATAACTGCATCATCAAGCGTTTTAGCGATAGCGATAGAACATACAGATTATTACAGTCAATGTATCGTATACTAAAAAGCAAGATATAACTATTCAAAATTAGAACAATAAGAAACTTACTCAAAAAATATAGAAGAACAAACTTGCTTTTTAATTTTGTCAAATAGTATAAATAAACGTCATCAACAATGAGGACTTCGTTTATACTAATACATTAATTAGGTAATCTAATTAATGGTATGAATCATCAGTGCCGAATCAAGGGGGGCTAAGGGAGCTATAGCCCTGGGCCCCCAAAAATTTCAGAAAACCTTTTTTTTTTTTAGTCATTTTTAGACTCCAAAAATAGCCCCGGGCCCCAAGAAGTCTTAATCCGCCACTGTGAATCATATATAGATATTATGTAATAGTATAATATTTAGTGCAATTATCTGTCCGCTTTCTCTATACTATCTTTCTAACTCGACATCTTCTGACTTTCGCTCTAACTTTAAAAACAACAATACCCAATTTTGTCAAATAGGATTATTCCAACTGTTTTTTTGCAGCATTCGATTTGATTCCAGTATTTGATTTGAGTGCAGCACTCAATAAATAATTTTTGGGACATTTTAGGAGCAAAACGAATATGTTGTTCAAGAATTTTATCGCCAGTTTTAATACAAAAATTTTAAAAGTTTATCAATACCAACGTTCTTTTCCCACGACTTTAAATGTCTTCATGATGACACGTGACTTTTACTGTCTTCATGATGATACATGACTTTTACTATCTTCATGATGACTTCAAAAAACAACCAATTGTGAAAAAACAAAACTATTTTTATTATTAAAATTAGTTTAATTTGAACTTAAATAAGTTTCCTAAGACTACCAATGTAATATAAAATATTTTTTTTCAAATTATATCTAAAAGGACAATGCGTAGACATTTAATTACCAATCCGTAGACACTTAATTTTGTAAACTATATGATCAAGAGTTCAGTAAACAGTTTTGTCAAAGGTTTTCGATAATGTTAACAATCAAAGTATTGCTTAAAATATTTCTTCTGAACAGTGTACATGAAAGAAAGATTGCTCCGATAATAATCTATTAATATGTTAACCAAAGCTATTTAAGATTTTTGTCAAACAGGGTTCACATTTTTTGTCAACAAAAAGTTGTTGAAATAACCATTTGTTTAATAGTTTTATTTTTTTTTATCAGCGACAGGAAAAACAAAAGATGTTTTAAAAATAAAAACTTTGGTAGATCCAAAAATAAATCAAAATCTTGAGCGAAAGTTTCTCATAACTTTATTTAGAAATAAAAATAAAGGAAAACTTTGATAAGTTATTTGAATAGAATACCGCAAAATATTTATTAAAAATTATCTAAAAGAATGGTAATGATAACTGCATGTTTGTTTTTTTAATATTTTGCAAAATCTTTATTTTTACAAATTTAAATGCTTAAAACTTTTTTTTAAGCAGGTGATTCAAAGCAATATGTTTTCTTTTTAAGTCACAAGGTCATTTCTTAATCATCCTTGTTGCGCAGTAAAAATAACTGATAAAAGTTAATTTTACAGTTAAGTAATATTCTGTTATTGCATTGCCTTAATCATTTGTATATTCGAAAGACAAGAAAATGCATCAAGCTGCACAAATCAATATATTATCATAATCAGTATAAATCAATTTATAAAACCAAACTAGTCTTTTTTTATTTTATGCAAGCAAAACATCATCTGGTGTAGGTAGACATCCATTAAACCTCATTGAATGGATGTCTACCTACACTAGATATGAACAAGTAGACATTGGTCTTCAACGTCTACCTATTCATATTTACGATGTTTAGAAATATCGCTCTTAATCATAATCAAAAACTGCGATGTCGCACTATGCCTCAGAATGATTAAAAAATGGCAAAAACTCAACAAGTTTTGACAAACATTGTAAATAAATATATTATATGTTGAAATAATAGTTTTTGGGTCAAAGAATTCAAATTTATTAATAAAAATATTTTTTATGCGCAGCTTTGATGCGTAAAATGCGCATTTACACGATTAAACGCGCGTTACGTTTGACTACACGCGTAATACATTATAATTATATTATAATACATTATAAAAACGTAGTAATTACATTTAACTACACGCGACGTTTCATGGCAAAACAAATTATTTTGATATATTAGTCTATTGGATATTCTAATAACAATCGTTTTTAAAGGATGTTGGTATGAAGAAAAAAACAATTGTGTTTTAAATTCAGATTCAAATTTTTTAATATTTATTTTCGTATTTATAATACAATATTTATAATAACCTCATATGGCAATATTTTTTCTTATGCTTTCTAAAAGATATGCTTTCCCAGCGGGCATTTGTTTTTAAAAGTTACGTTCTAAATGTATTTTAAATGTCTTTTAAACGTCTTCTAAACATTCTTACATAAAGAACGTTTGAAAGACGTTTGAAAAACGTCTAAAGTAACATGTACTACTTTTGTGTTTTGACAACGCAGATATAAAATTAAATATTACACAAAGTTTATGCTACTAAAATTACTTATTTATAATTATAATTTTTTTTTCTTCAAATTTCAATGTTAAAATGCTCAGAGCCCAGGTAACTAAGAAATTTAATAAATATAAGTTATTAACAAATTTCTCCTAATAAAACTAAAATTACATAAGTTTTCCAGATAATATTTTTTATACTTTTTATAATTATACATAACTAATATTTTTTATACTTTGTCCACCAACTGGCCCACTGTGTGGCATTTCAAATTTCATTATTTAAAGCCTCTTGACCCTCTTCTGAATAAAATCCTACGGAAAGGATTAGGAATATCTTAAGGATTTTAAGAATTAGGAAAATTTGAAATCCGTGCTGAAGTTTGTGAACTCCATCCAGAAGTTTGTGAAGACAAGGTGACATTACATACCGATTGTTAAAAGAAATAATTAAATAATAAAAATAAATCTCTGTGGTAGTTTTAAAAATTTTCAGGGTCAATATATGAATATATTCAAAATAGCCAGAAAAATGACTATCAGAATAGTTCTGTTTTTCTACAAGTTCTTTATCCACGCTTATGATATTAGCAAAATCTTCAAGACCTTTTCTTGCAATATTGCTATTATTTATGTAACCAAATCCTGTTCTGGGTTGACCTATTGCAAGGGTCAGTTTTTTTTATACAATTTTGTTAAAATAATTCTTTTCTTTTAGGCTACATTTAATTTTTATAAGTTGTGCTTTGAACTTTTTGTGAGTTTATTTTATATTAAAGATATCAAGACTCGTATTAATACTCTGAATATCAGTTTCATATCTCAAATATAGAAGATATTTAAGAGTCTAAATTCAGCAGTGAAGAAAATTTGGTCCGAGGTGTAATGCCTTTTCATTGCAATCCCTGAGATATACTTTATAAAGATCATTATTTTAGGAGAGTTTTGCCCAACAAATATTTAACTTTGGATCTTAACCTCTCTTCTTCCTCGACATATAGCAACTTGGACTCCTTTCTGTACAGAAGTTGAACTGGCCGACAATAGCGGGTACTTGACGTTCTTTTATTTAACCAGATTATTTGGTTGTCAACATTTAATTTTAAAATAACCGTAGCTGTCTGAAACATAAGTTACTTATTTGATATTACCTGCAGTAGATCTGTGTAAACTGTATTTTTTTTTTTGTAAATACTTTAGCATGAACCTCTGTCAAAGCCTACTTTACAATGCAAAAATCTATTAATATCAAAAAAAAATTCTAGAAATGTTCGACTTCCCGAAAGTTGCGTAATTGCTACAGAGGTTGGTCTAGAACTGTGTGAAAACCACAACCTGCCTCAGTCTCATGCATCTGAACTTTATCTGCATAACAATATTGTATTTTTTCAAACAGATTACGAAGTGTTGGGTAAATATTTGCATTATTCAGTAAGGAACTTTTTCTTATCAATTAATGTTGTTCATCTGATAAACCACATAGTAGCTTAAGACTGAGGGCATCTAATGTACTTATTTTTATGGTTTTGCCGGATTTATTGAGTAAGCTTCCTTTTATTGTATAATTTCTTTTTCACCTGTATTAATAACTTTTTGAGCCTTAAATGCTGCTCTGATCAGTGCTTCTGGATGCTGTTGAGCTATTACTGCAACTCCGCCTCTCATGTTCCTTTCTCCAACTTCTTCCATGGCTCGACAGGCCTCTCACCACAATTGTGACTTCTAAAATATCTTGTATCTTCATTTTGAAAATTCTTTTTGAGTTGTACAATTTAAATACTTGTCAGTTCTTTTTAAAAAATCTGCATTTTATTTTTATATACAGGATACTGGAAAGACTATTTATACACAAATTATTTTAGCCATGACCTTTGTTTTTTATTCCCTGAATGTTTAACAAGTATTTTTTATTATTATTTATATTTATTCTGCAAAGTATATTTAATAATAGTTGATAAATATTCAGAAAATAAAAAAAAAATAAGGTTATGGATTAAAACTATTGATATAAAATGTGTATAATAACTAATAACTTGAACTGGATAATAGGGTGTACCAAAAGCATATTTTTTATATCACCTGAATACCTCTCAATTTTTTTCCATTCTCTGAAATATGCCAAGGCTAAAAATCATTAGAAAAAAAATTTCGTAGCCATGAAGTGATAACTGTACAGTTTGAAAAAATTGATTTTCTCGAAAATAAATGTCCGTTACATCAATTTTGGATTAATATGTAATGAAGTTTATTTTTATCTTTTATTTTGTTTTTGATAAAGTTAATAATGATGCCTAAGTTAAATAATGTTATTATGACTTTTTAAAAGCATATCAAATTTTGAAATGGGCTTGGGTATGTTTAGGCAAAAAGTATTGTCAGGCTCGGAAATATGCTAAAGCTTTACTTTATTTAATTTTTACAAATTATGCATTATTATTATGTTATAAAAACCATAATATATATGTGCATATTGAACAATTTAATATATTTAACAAGTCAATATAATAAAAAATTTTAGCATAAATTTGTTGTTGTTATTTTTAGAGCCAATGTGCATTTATGTATACAAGCAATAGAAACACATTCAGACGCGTGTATGTTTTCATTTTTATATGCGTCTGAAACGTATTTCAAATGATTGTAAAATGGCTATCATATATTTGCAAAAAGTGCGTATTCTGGAAATTTTTAAATGCGCATTTAATACCAAAAAAACATTGTATTAAATTATATCTAATTACGGTGATTTATGCGTATTTTAAAGAGTTTTAAATGCGGGTTTGATACTCTGTAGACGTCGTTCTGCATACTCGTTTTTAAACGCATCTAAAGCGTATTACTAATGCATGTTTGACTTGATAAAATGGCTAACATACATGCTATAAAGTAGGGAACAAAAAATCAACCATTTGCGGTGATCGGACTTCTGCGGTGATGGTAGGTTATCAGCTAACCACAGCGGTCGGTGATTGCGGTGCGCGGTGATGCATTGGCAGTGAAAGCTGTTAGAGGTGTACGGTGATTGTCAGTGATTGTCGGTTAGCGGTTTTCAGTTTTCTGACTATCACTGCAGAAGTTTGATCACTGCAAATGATAGATTTTTTGTTCCCTACTATAAAGATGCGCATTCAAACAAGTTTCTAATACGCGTTTACAACTTAATGTGCCAGCTGCGACTCCGTGGGCGTGAAAATGCAATTTTGTTGTTGTAAAACTGCTTTTTTACATTTTATGAAGGTTTTTGTCTGATAATTTAGAAAGCATTGGTTGGAAGGTATTCCGCGTGTTGCGGTTGTCACAGAATTTAATTATAAACAAGAAAAATCCTATCCGTAGATTTTTAAAACTGAGTATGACTCATGTCTTTATATATATACACATCTATATTATGCATCTATATAATAATTATATATAAAACATCTGCATTTTAGGGACTAGCAAAATACAAAGAAGTGCCAGGGTTAGTTTTTTATTCTTGGCGACGTCGCATTTGTAACAAAAATGATATAAAAACAACCTTTGTTGACTAATGTTGTGTTAACGCAACTCGCGACATTGTTCTCACGTTTCACCAATGTATGTGTGCTAATTAAGTAAACTCAATTATTCTTAGATTACTAAATTTTGTAATTTATTTCAAAAATTAGGTTATTAAGAAATTCAGAAAATTGTTTAATGTTGTTAAAAAAGACGAACCTAACATTTCTCATGCTTAGATCAAATATTATAACCTGTTCCAAAGACAGAACTTTTTACAAAGAACTTTTCTCTATTTAATTCTTGAATCTAATTACCACATCTTTCGCATCATTTTAAAGAATAGATAACCACCGGTTAAACATTCAAACCACTTTTGTTTCTATAGAAAATGTTATTTTCCACTTCTTTTGCAGCTTGTGTTCCCCATAATATTTTTATCACAGACTTGCGAAATTGTTTTCTAGAAAATTTCAAAAGATTCAAAAGACTTTAAAGAGTTTAAATAATAAAGATAGATAAAAACTTCTTCTGTAGATGTAACTCTTCTTTTTTAAATCTATTTTAATAAAATGCTTCAAGGGATATAGAGACCCTTGTTATCAAGCATAATAAAAAATATAAAAAAACCGTTAAAAACCTACTCTTTCTATAAATTCTTATCCAAGTATGTACAAACTTATCTCTATTTTACAAATGTTGCCATGGTCGTTTCTCAAGTAAGCTATCCTCATTTGTTCAATGAACCAAAACATTTAGTAAAGTTGTATCTTTTACTGTAACTATTGTTTCATGTTCGAAAAAATTTTATTTGTTTAGTTTTTACCCTAAATCACCACTACGAAATTATCACACTTTTTGACTCAGAAAATTTATATTTTTAAGTTTTCTTGTGTTTTAACATAATTTTTGATTTCTTTGATTAACTCTCAACTTTATGTGATTAACGCCCAACTTTCTGTTACTAACTCCCAACTTTATGTTTCTAACTTCCATATAGTGGTTGTTAGCAGAATTATTAAGAGTCAATTTGTGAAATAAAAAAAATAAAAAAATCTTAAATGATGCTATTTTAAAGTTATATAAATTTTTTCATACTGCATGTTTTTCTAAACCAATTAATTTAAAAAGTGTGTCAACTTAGTTATCAGTGCTTTGTGACGAGACTGTATCTGCTTTAAATGCGTCATTTGCATTAATTTAATATGCTACAGTTCTTTTTTTAAATCTATATTAAATGTTTCAAAATAATTAATGTTAAAGTACTTTATAAGTTTATTTGAAAAGTGATGGAAAAGTTTGAAATGTTAGGTTTTAACAATTATGAACAACTAATTTAGTTTTAAAGTTAATTATGGTCAGAAAAACAATTATGAACAACTAATTTAATTTTAAAGTTAATTTAAAGAAAATGACTTCTAGTTAATAACCAGATAATAAAAAAAAAAGTTTTCTTTGGTCATATAACAAGGGGTTCTATTGTTAAAGCATTTAGACAGTTTCGACAAAGATCAAGTGGTACTTATTTTTTAAATGTCTTGCAAACTCTGCGAAAAAATAATTTATTTAATTTTTTTTATAATCTTTTTGTTTGTCTTGTGATAACATCTGCCAAATTATTTAATTTGTTTATTTATATTTACTATCTTCCCACTTGCGCACGTTGCGTCATTTTATCTAAAAGGTTTTATTTTTTCACACTTCCACTGGTCTTAATTGTTCAAACTTCCAGGAGGATAGAGTTAAATTTTTGGTTAAATGTTTTAATAAATCTTTAAAAACCTAAATTTGTAAATAAAACAGTAAATAAAACAGATTTTATGTATATATAAAGAAATCTTATTTTCAACTGTCAAGTTTATAGTTATAGAGACAACGGTGGTCGGGATAATAAACTATGATATGTTATTTAACCTTAAATTCAATAACTCAGTCCTCATTAACCTTTTGAGAAATCTTTTTTTTTACTGAAAATGTTAACTGAAAAAACAAAATTTTTAAAAAATATTTTATTAATTTATCGTTATTCTACATAAATACATGTGATTTAAACAATTTTTGTGTTCTTCCCATAATTATTGAAAAACATACCTACAAAAGAAAACATTCAAAATTATCTTCATAAAAGATTTTAAAAATCAGCTTCACTTTAATTTTCAGTTGAAAAATAATCTTTGAACTTTTTAAAAAGTTCAACAATTTTTTCATTCATTTTTGAATTTTTATTATCTTTTTTTTCCGTTTCATTTTCAAGCTTTGAATTATCTTTAAGGTTATCGAAGATGGTGGAATCGCTCAAGATAGCGGAATCTTTTCTTGGAAAATTAAAAAAATTATTTTCGCCTTTTTTTACCATTAATGACTCTCGGTGCAGATTTTTATTTTCGTTGAGCAATCCTAGTAATTCAATTCTCTTTAAGAGCGAACCAATTGAGAGCTCTTCTTTGCGCCAAGGTAAACCTGGACTTTTTATTTCATCGTTTTTCTTACTTTCTAACAAACCTAATAACTCCATCTTATTCAAAAGAGATTTAATTGATATTTCATCTCGACACCAAGATAAAGCTGGTCTTTTTAATTCGTCGTTTTCATTATTTTCTAACAGACCTAATGATTCCATCTTATTCAAAAGAGATTTAATAGATATTTCATCTCGACGCCAAGGTAAACCTGGGCTTTTTAACTCGTCGTTTTCATTATTTTCTAACAAACCTAATGATTCCATCTTATTCAAAAGAGATTTGATTGATATTTCATCTCGGCGCCAAGGTAAAGTTCGGGTTTTTAGTTTATTGTTTTCATTATTTTCAAGCAGTCCCAATAATTCCATTTTTTTTAAAAGTGATCTAATCATTGTTTCATCTCTGCGCCAATGCAAAGCTGGGGTTTTTAGTTCATCGTTTTCATTATTTTCTAACAATCCCAATGATTCCATCTTTTTAAAAAGAGACTCAATTGATAACCCATCTCTGCGCCAAGGTAAAGCTGGTATATTAAATTCATTTTTTTCGTTATCTTTAAACAACCCTGATGATTCCAGCCTCTTTAAAAGAGACTCAATTGACAATTCATCTTTGCGCCAAGGTAAAGCACTCGGGTCTTTTAAATCGTCTTTTTTGTTATTTTCATCTAATCCTATTGATTCCATCAACTTCAAAAGAGAATTAGTTGAGAGTTCCTCTCTACGCCAAGGTAAAGCTGCAATATTTAGTTCATTGTTTTTATTATCCTTAAACAATCTTAATGATTCTAATTTTTTTAAAAGAGATTCAAGTGATACTTCATCTCTTCGCCAAGGTAGAGCCGCACTCGGCTCTTTTAATTCATTGTTTACATTTCTTTTCAGCAGACCAAGCGATTCCATCCTTTTAAAAAGGGAATCAATTGTAATTTTCTCTCTGCGCCAAGGTAAACCTGGGCTATTCAATTCATCTTTTTTGTTATCTTTTAATTCATTGTTTACATTATTTTTAAGCAATCCTGACGATTCCATCCTTTTTAATAGAGAATTAATCATTGAAAGTTCATCTTTGCGCCAAGGTATTGCAGCGCTAGGTTCGTTTTTTAAATTGTCATTTTCATTCTTTTTTTGGATTTCTTCAAATAACAAATTCTTTTCAATTTTTTGATTCTCGTTAGTTTCACCATTTCTTATGTTATAATTATCATTATCAGCATAATTATCATTATTAGCATTTAAAATTGTATTTAAGTCATTAAGTGCTTTGTTTAAAGTTTTTTCTTTTTCCTTGTCAGAAACGTCATTTTTCAAAAATAGTTCTTCGATTTCATTAGTTGTTTGGTCACTTTTTAGATTATCTGAAACTTGTTCTTCAGCTAAATAAAATAGTTTTGAAGTTATATATTTTCTATGCTTATGTAATACCGAGATAAATCAACAGAAAACAAGTTACCCTTATAAATTTGATAAATTAACAGAAAACAAGTTACCTTTATAAATTTGAAAATGGAATACCAAGACGAGAGGCAGCAAACGGATCGAGATAAACATATTTTGAGGATTTTTTTAAAAAAGTGTTTGCGTCTTGCAATGAAAATTGAAACGTTTGCCTTTTAATGTTTAGATACAATAAAAATCTTCACTGTATTTTAAATCTCTTGAGAATACAACAAAGACGTCCAATTGCGTGTTTTGTCAAGGTTAAACAAGTTTTGTAACCTTATCAAACATTTTTATCCTGTCTTTTGACGACTTTGATTTATTGAATTTATAAATTCAAATTACGATAGTTATGATTGAACACATATTACAAAGTATTGTTTAAAATCAGCGTAATGCCATCATCAAATGCCTCCGTAATACCATCTCATTGAATAGTTTGTTTTAAATAAGTTTACGGATTAGTTGTCATAGAGAATTTGTTTTATAAAAAAAGTTTTTTCACAACATGTGAAAAAACTTTTTAAAAACTGTTTTTAGACTACTCCATTTGCTATTTTGATTTTTTTTTTTTTTTTTCCAACTATTTTATTAGTTTTAATATACTAGGTTAAAATGTTTTTATTTATTTTATATATATTAGTTTTATAATATTTTAATATATTAGTTTAAAATGTTTGATTATGATGATTTAAAATAAAAAGATTTTTTTTTTATTCTTGTTTTAAAATTTTTTTATTTTTTATCTTGTCTTGATAAATATTACCCGTAATACGCGACCTTGGCGCAGTTAAGTAATAACAATGAAGTCTCTGTTAACAGGATGAGAATCGTTGATGGAAACGACGAACTAAAATGACCAGTTTTAGCAGAGAGGAACTTTTAACTGATTCTCTTATATAGTTATTTGCATTATTTTTATTATCATTATTAAGTGTTTTTATTTTTCTTCGTTTGTTATGACAAAAAACTGTTAAATTTATAAATACTTTTCAGTTCAAATTTTTAATATTTTAATTCCCGTCATTTTTAATTGTAAAGCAAATTATTTTTTTGTAATTTCTCTATATTTAGTTGATAAAATAAAGCTAAGTTAGGTTTTGTAATGTCCTTCAATCTTAATGTCAACATACTTAAATAGAGAATCAGGGAAATAAAAATAACTTTTAAATATAGCCAAAAAATAAAAGGACAAATAAAATGTGTTTTGTATTTCTAATACAGTATTTTGTATTTGTAAAAAATTTGTTTTAAAGATAAGTTTGCAGATTATAACTATGATACAAGTGTGTCGGGAATTTAGAAAGGGAATTGAAAAAAATTTAAGGGTTGTTTAGTATTGTTTATTAGGTATTTGTGGTTGTTATACTCGTTGCTTTCACATTGCATGTGTATAGGTTGTATTGCTACTTTTGATATTGAATCTGTACATTCAACATTGTATCTCATTTTTTAAACAAACTGAGCTGAATAGTAACTGAAAATAATTTAAACTAAATTTAAAAATTTTTGTAAGTATTTAGATACTAAAAACTTTGTCATTTGAAGTTATTTAAAAAAAAAAAAAAAAAAAAAATCTTTTTGGGCATTATTATGGATTTGATATTTTACATTGGTATAGCTTTGCAGCATAACCTCCTTAATGTTTTAACTTCCGGTTAATACATTTTAACTCGGAGAAAAAATATCAAGAAATGGATTACCTGACGCGTAATTATATAACTCGGATCAAAACAAATCAGCACTCCACCCTCCCCGGCCTCCCAAAATGAAATAAATCACAATAATTGTATTTAATTAATGAGAGTTATGATCTAATTCAAAAAGACAATAGCGCGTAATTGTTTGATTTAATCGGAAAACTACGTCACAAGTAGGATGACGGAAGAGAAAACTAAAGTTTATTAAACACATAACAACAAAACACAAACACAGAATAAAATAAGGGTCAAACAATTTTTGCATTGTTCTTTAGATTTTTACTTCAAGTTTAACAAATGCTTAAAATCTTTTAAAGGCGTCAAAGATAGTAGTGATTTAAATAATATCAGAGAAACCCTTAAAATGTTACTCTATGCTTTTATAAAAAAAGTTTTTAAATATATTAGGTGAAAATGGTTACGTTACATGCATAACGGGGTAAATAATGGGCCATAAAAAAGTCTTTAAATTTTTCAAAATTTTAAAACATCATCTAGAGGTCGCCGTCTTGACTCCAATTTGAGAATTAATCTTATACATGCAACGGAGTCAAAGGTTTTTGCAAAATCTAAAAAGGCATTATCAACACAGATACCTTTTTCTTTAAGACCAGTAAGCATATCTAAGGTTTCTAGCAGGTTTGTAATGCAGCTTTTTGTTTTTATAAAACCATGTTATTTTTTGGTTATTAAATTGTTATCAACAAGATGTTTCATTATAGTATCTCTGACAAAACTTTATATTAGCTTGTATACTATCGAGGCTAAAGAGATTGGTCTGTAGTTGTCAGCCTTTAAGCGATCTCCTTTTTTAAACAATGGTGTAATGTTTGCTTTAAGTCAAAGTTCTGGTAGTGTTCCTGATTCTAGCGATCGGTTAAAAGTAATGCTTAACGGTTTGCTAAGACTTTCTGCACATTTATTTAGGACTAATGGGTGAACTTTGTCACTTCCTGGAGATTTGTTTACATTAAGTTTAAATGATATGTTTGCTATATCAGTTTCGTTAAACAAAGGAATTGGACAAATTGAACTTGTTATACTTCCACATAATGGAATAACTTTAAGATTTTCATATGTAAATACGGAACAGAAGAACCTGTTTAAATAGTTTGCTATAAACTGTACATCATTAGATAACTTGTTTTTATCGGTAATAAGTGACCTTATATGGTCCTTAACTTTAAGTTTACTATTGATATAGGCATAAATTTGCTTTGGATTTTGTTTTGATTCTACTGCAATTTCCTTTTCGTATGCTTTTGTGCTACTTTTAACAAGTTTTTTTACTCTTTTATTTTTTGCTCCAATTATGGTTATTCAAAAACTCTGTGAACTTTTTATAATTTGCTCTTCTAAATAGTAGCTTTGTGGTTAATATTCAAAACTTGATTACCTCTTTGGGTGTCATCTAAAGGCTCAGTATGAACTAAACATGATATTCGAAATGGGCTTGCTGTTAAAATTAGTTCTAGAATATTTGTCTAAGCATTTAATTTAGCTGAAATGTTAGTTTTATAACATGTTGTGTTAAGTAAATTTCTTGAATACAATCAATAAATAAAGATTCTTCCGATCCGATACTAACACTTTGATACTGGTTGTTCCATTTGCAATTTAAAGATGCAAAATTAAAATTGCCATAAATCAAGACATCAGTGTATTTTTTGTTCTTAATAAAACAATCATAACTTCTTTTGATAGAATTAATTAAAAGGCGACAGCTTTCAAGATCATTGTTTCCTGGTCTGTAAATACAACCAAATAAAATAAATTCACCATTTACTTTAATAGAACACCATATTTGTTCAACTTCTTTGTTATTGAGCACATTGTCTTTTATTTCAAAACCTCTTATTTTATTTGAAGTAAATATACATACATCACCTCCTCTACTTTTTTTACAATCTCTTCTGTAAAGATTATAACCTGGTACATTTGTTATTGATAGACTATTCCACCATGTTTCTGTTATAAAAATAAGTTCTGGCTTTTTTACTTTTATTTCAACTATAAGTCCATTTAATTTGTCTCTTTCTAGCGATGTTGCATTTGTGTATAAACATTTTAAATAACTGGGTTTACTTAAAACACTCAAGTTATGAGTTGTTTGAACGTTTATGGTATTCAACTTACTTTGAAATTGAGACCTCTCACTGTTTATATTAAAAATTAAGTTTACTTGAGCTGAATCATTGCTTGATGAGTTAATTGGGTTTTTAACGTTTTTTCATTGCTATCTTCTTATTTTTATAACTTTCTCTTTTCAGATACCATGATAAAAATCTTCTCTCTCTTTGTTTTCATTATTTTTTTTCTCTACATTCTTGTCTTAATAATTTGGATTTATATCTTTCTGTTTCTGTTATTTCTGGATTGATGAAAACTTTTTCATACTCTTTTGAGTCACGAAATTCATTTGCTTTTTTTAATATTGAATCTCTTTTAAATTTATCTTTTAGCATATCTATAAACGGGGCTCGTTTGTCTCTGTTTGATCTTAACTTTATAATATGTTTGATCTTAACTTTATAATTTTAAATTTGTATGCTTACTTTAACTTGCAATTTGTTAATAACTTTTTCAATTTTTACTGTATAAAGTATATTACTGTATAATCGAAATGATTAGCTAAAGCTGGTATTTTGCTATTAAAAAGTTCTTTAACGAATCAGTAGCAGCAGAAAATTTTTTGCTACCTTGGAATAATTGCAAAAGCGCAGACTTATTTAAGTCTGTGCAATTCTTGCGGCGAAAAAACCACGTGATCATTGCGTAATTAAAAACAAAAATATCTACCATTATGATATGGGGGCAAACAAAGGCGCTGATTTCAGTACATCATTACCTAAACGCCTTGAAAATGTCTTATGATTATCAAGAAAAGTTATCTAAAAAAGCTGCTGAACGTTACCAGAACAATATTTAGCGTTATATTGAAATAAATCTGTGCAAATGCTCAAAGGAAACATGGAATTTAATTAATTCATCATTTTGAAATTATTGCACAGTTTACAGATGTAGTCAATAAATAAAACAAAAATATTACATATTGATATTCTAATAACATTTAAAAATTCTATATTTTGCTTAAAATTTTCCTCAGTGTAATATTTATTCCTCATGTTTTTAATATATGTGAAATAAATGTTATAAATAAAAAATATTTTTTACAGTATAATAATGAAATGATCAAAATTACTAATTACAACAACTTGAATTATAACATCGTAACAATATTTATAAAGTTTTTTAGTAAATGGTATGAGGATTAACAATATTGTGTTTTGGCTTTTAAAAAATAACATAAATGACTTTTTATCTTCATTCACGAAGGTACTCTCTAAAACCAGTGACAACAGCAGAAACTCTACTAATGAAAATAGAACCAATTTATGCTGAAAGCATTTACAAATTAATGTCTTATGTATCATGTTAACATGAAAAATAAAAATTTAATTAAAAATATAACTAAATAAATAATAAAGAAGAAACTTACTTTGTAAGATTGTTTTTGTGACCTAGGAACAATCCTAAAGATTAAAAATGACAACATTAAAAGTATGTTTTACTTTAAAACATGTTTCTTGCCTATTAGTAAATGATTAGAAGTAACGAGTTCAAGTAAAAATAATCATTTCTAATAATCTAATAATCATTTGTAGCCAGAGACACCAACGAGAAAGTAAGCAAAGTTGTCTATCAACACAAAGCTTCACAACAATAACATCACTATAATAACACAATAAAACAAAATAAAATTATACACATAATGACTTACAAGTGAATCAACACCGCACTAGAGGTTGAAACAGAACACAAACACACATATAATATCTAAAGGGTGAGCCAACACGACACCAGGGGTTGACACAGAACATAAACACATATATATTGACTTATGAGTGAGCCAACATACACATAATCACTTACCTAGCCAATGCTGCATTATTTTTAAACTACCATCATTCTCAGCTAAGTTAACTTGTTGTTTCATGTTGGTTCAAGACACTAACATCTTCCACTCCAGTCAATGAATTGTCAGTACTTATTTGTTAACTGACTTTAATAACTTGAGATTTATTGCAATGACTTTTTTGTACATAATATTCTAAAAAAGTATAAGCATGTTTGAGGTATATAGTAAATACAAAATTTGTGCTTAACAAGCTATTGAACATTAATTTATTTAAAAATAAAAACAATAAACACATGATTTATAAATGCTTAGTTTTAATGCATTAATATTTATATATACAATTTATTTTTGTTATGCATCAATGCATAACAAAAATAAATTGTAACTATTACATAAACAGTTTTTACAAAAACATTTTAAACAACAAGATAAACTATATTATATAGTTTATCTTGTTGTTTATACAGTACATATAATACTATATAGTATATACTAATTGAATTGTTTAATCTATTTATTCTCCTTTCATTTCACAAAACAATTGGTTATGTTGGAGGGATGATTTCACTATATATATTTTTTAGCACCTAACATATTTACTGATGGAACATAGTCAACATGCTTTTCAAAATTTTGAAAAGCATCTGGACTATGTTCTTTTTTTTCCTAAAAGAGAAACATACTTACAATGAATAAAAAACTTAATAAGTTCAAGAAAAATTAGTGCTCAAATATTTTGACGATTCAAATACAAAACCAGATACAAAATGTTTTGAGCATACTTAGACATGTTTTGCGACCTAAGTTTGTTTTAGCAAGATGAATCAGTTCTATATAAAGCATAAAGCCACGATTTTCTTCTCTTTGGATCAGGAAACAAAATATAAAAAATCAAGTTCGGATGACTATTAACATTAATTGAACAATCAATACTGCGCTAATAAGTCTTTTGCAATTTTTTTGATGTGATTAAAAGCTGATGAGGACTTAACACTTTTTCTTGTTGTTGGTCCACATAAACTGGTCAGTTTGTAAACTTTATAGTGACAAAAAAGTTGAACTTTTGGTTGAGGCGACAACAATTTTGTTTTGCTTTTTTAAACATTGTATTTCATGAAAAAAAAAAAAAACGGTCTTATCACAAAAATAAACGGTCTTATCACAAAACACCACAGAATAGCATTTAAAGAGAAACCGCAACCTTACTATAAAATTACTTTAATAAAAATGATTTTTTTTATAGATATTTAGAATTTGTTAGATTATTTAGGTGCTTCAAGAAGTCCGAACGGCCTTATCAGAGACCACCGCACAGTGGGTCAGAAGTCGGCAAAACCTAAAACATAAAGTTTAAAAAAACTTTTTTTTTTTTTTTTTTAATATAGGTTTTATTTTATTTAATATAAGTCTAATATACGAAAATAATATTATTTATGATAATAGATTATGATTAAATAGAAATACTTGGCCGCAAACTACTCCAGTTCCGTCAGCAAGCAATGTTGAAAATTATTCATTATTTTTTCTAAATATTGCCGTTTATTTTTACATGCTTCCTGCTTTAAAAGGTAGGAAAATTTTATGCTATATTTTTTGAATTTGTATATAGATGTATAATTTATCCTCAAAATATCATTATAAAAAATATAACAGTATTTTTTTATGCCTAACTGTACAGGCTGTTTTTTAAATTATGTAAATTCTTTTTTTCTTTGTTGGTGTTTAAATAGTAGTGTATTAAGCAATATTAAAGATATGTTGCAGCTGTTTTCATAAGTACTTGATGTGTACTACTATTATCAAGCAAAATATTTTGCCAGTTTTTGCCAGTCTAGAGTGAGCAATGATTTTAATATGTAATAATTGTAATTTTTATAAACCGGCCGTGTTGTTATCTCATTAATATAATTTTTATAGTCCGGACGGACTATACTATTTATTGGCGAATATTTAAGAGAACATAATAATAAGAAAGAAAATATAATAATAATAATAATAAAAAAATATTATTAGACAATATATTCCTTTTGTATATATCTGTTCATATTGGGCATAAAATATTACAGTAGGTTGCCTAGTTTTTAACAAACACATGCTCATTATTTTGTTTGTACATTTAATCTACTCTCTCTCTCTTTCCCTCTCTCACTCTCTCTCTCTCTCTCTCTCTCTCTCTCTCTCTCTATATATATATATATATATATATATATATATATATATATATATATATATATATATATATATATATATATATATATATATATATATATATATATATGTATATATATATATGTGTATATATATATATATATATATATATATATATATATATACATATATATATATATATATATATATATATATATATATATATATATATATATATATATATATATATATATATATATATATGTATATATATATATATACATATATATATATATATATATATATATATATATATATATATATATATATATATATATATATATATATATACATATATATACACACATTATTATATATATTATTATATTATCTATTCTTATATTAATAGATGTTCTTTTTAATTTTAGATGAATAGAAGACAGTTATACATTTATATTAAAGAAACTGACTGTAATAAAAATGATTTACTTTGTAAACTGGTTGAGTATGTGGAAAATGTTTCACCAAACACATTTTTAGATATAAAGCCAACATTATCATCATTTGTTCATCAATACAAACGTAAAATGACAACTGTAAAAAGGGAGTATACTCAATTTGAAAATAAATATGCTACTTGGCTAGATGCTATTATTTCTTTTAAACTAATAAAAGCTGTTACTCCTGAAAAAAATTATGGTGGAAGACCAGAAACACCTTTTAACAAATCTTCAATACGATCAAAGGACAGAAAAGTTTCTAACATTATACATATGTACTCTACTAACGAAATATTATATGCAGCTTCAAGGTCATTAAAAAAAGATGGGAGAAATGCAGAGGCTATCAGTGTCAAAAGTATTTTATATACCCCTCAAGCAAGTCTTTTTTCTGACAAAGCACTAGCACTCTTCTTAGATGCTAATCTGTCAAAGGCAACATACCAACTTCTCCGCAACAATGCTTTGGATCTAGATTCAGCTATTTATCCAACATACCATGATTTAAAGAGTGCAAAAGACAGATGTTATCCAGATGATGTTATAATCTCTGATTACTCAGCAGAAATTCCGTTGCAGTCTCTACTTCAGCACACATCACAACGACTTTGTGATTCTCAGATAGAAGTGCTGACTGCTGATTCCCTTAAAATCTTTAAAAAACTTACACTTAGATCAAAAATAGGATTTGATGGTGCAACTGGTCTGTCAGTGTATAAGCAGTCGAGTACAGATGAGGCTGGCAGGAGTTTAGCCAATGAAGTATCTTTATTTATTACATGCTTAGTGCCATTAGACTTATACTTTTTTACAGATGCCAAGCGGCAGCTTGTTTGGAGGAATCATAAACCTTCGTCGCCTATTTTTTGCAGACCTGTCCGGTTTAAATACATCAAAGAAACAAAGGAAGTAGTCTTAGAAGAATTTGAGTCAATTAAAAATGACATCAAAACACTCCCAGTTTCTAAAGTGATAGTTGCTGGACAGACATTAGATGTACATCATATCATAGATATCACTATGATTGATGGGAAAGTGCAGACCATAATTTCCACTGCTACAACTTCCACTCAGTGTTGCAGTGTTTGTGGCATCTCACCAAAGTTCATGAATGATCTGCCAATAGTTTTAAAAAAAGAAGTGAAAAATGAGAATCTGCAGAATGGCATCTCAACACTTCATGCCTGGATTAGGCTTTTTGAGTGTTTACTACATATTGCATACAAGATTCCAATTCAGAAATGGCAAGCAAGAGGTGTAGATGATAAAGCTATAGTTGCCACCAGAAAGAAGAAAATACAAGTTGCATTCCAAAATGAGATGGGTCTTGTTGTAGACCAGCCATGCTCTGGGGGTGCTGGTACCTCAAATGATGGGAACACTGCACGTCGTGTGTTTCAGCAGGCTGAAAAGTCTGCTGAAATAATGGGTGTTAGTCCTGTTCTTATCAGAAGACTACATTCAATATTATCAGTGATGTCTTCTGGATTTGATATTGAACCTAACAAATTTAAAAAATATTGTTTTGAGACTGCAGAGTTGTATACACAGTTATATATATGGTATCCTATGTCACAGACTTTACATAAAGTTCTGATTCATGGACATCTAGTGATAGAATTTTTTAGCTTGCCTCTTGGCATGATGTCTGAGGAAGCACAAGAAGCCTCAAATAAGTACTTTAAAAAATACAGGGAGTGCTTCTCTAGAAAATGTGACAGAAAAAAAAACAATTTGGACGTGTTTCATCGCCTTTTATGCCATTCAGATCCTTTTATTGCTCAATACCGTAAAACAAACAGTACAAGAAAAGCTATTCTGCCTGCCGATGCAATTGCTCTGTTGAAAGAGCCCAGCATCATTTGCTCTTTGTGAGTTTTTGATGATATCTTAGAAATAAATGTTTTTGCCAATGAATGTACGTGTTTAGCAATAAATGTTTAATTATATATAAGATTTTTTTTTTCAATATAAATAAAAACAACATCTTAATATATTAATATAGTTTTTAATCATAGTTTTATTTGTTTTAATTTATTATGAGGTTTTGGCTAGAAATTAACTATTTTAACCCATTATAGTTTTTTATTATTGTGCATAGTAATAATAAAGGTTCTACCATCTAGTGTTGCTAGATTATTGCAAGAATCTAGAATAGTATACTTTTTATACTATTCTAGATTCAAAAAAAACTTTAAATAATATTTTTGTTTCTAATTTTATTGCCGAATTAAGGGAGGGGGGCTATGGCCCCGGGGCCTTAAATTTTAGGGGCCCCGTAACATTCAAGAAGACCTTCCCCTTACAAATCGTGCTATATAAATTTGGCTAATAAAGTACTGCAGAAAAAAATAGCCCCGGGTCCCGAATGTTCTTAATCCGCCTCTGGCTAGTTTACGGAATTTTTTTTATAGGCTAAAAAATTGGAATTTTTCAAAATTATGCAATAAAAATCCAAGTTTTTATAAAACTAAAATTTTTTTTTGCATAATTTGTTTTTCAATATAATACACCGTTTGTAATAAAAAAAAAAAAAAATTAAAATATATTTTAGAGGTTTTGGCTGAAAATTGGCACCTCTGACCCACTGTGCACCGCCGGAAAATATTTAACCAGGAAGTTAACGCTTCCTTCATGACCATATATGGCCAGAGAAAAAATATAAATTTACACAAGATGTGTTTGTTTTTTTTCTTAGTTTTTGCCTAAATATTATATGAAAATTTTTACTTTTGAAAGTGGTAGAATCTTCGCAAAACTCTTCAACTGTTTACTAAGAGTTTTCATTAGTTTAATACAAAAAATGTGTTAATAGATAAATTTAAAAACTGCAAAGTAAAAAATATTGTATTAGTTTTGTTCAAAAAGTCAAAATATATAATGAAACTTATAATTAAATAGTACGGGCCGGATTTCAAGAAGATCGTAATGATATCATCACAAAGCCCTTACTATGTGATTAATATGTATTACCAGGCACACCCAGAGCTCTTGTGATCCCCGGGTCCAAAAGTTTAATGGATGCCTTATCATACTTCCGGTCTTAAAATGAAAAATACCAAATAAATTAGTATAGTTATTTTATGTTTACTTTCATAGAAAACACATTTAATTAATTTTGGTTTTTAAAAGGAAACTATGGTAAAATTAAATCTTAATTCAAACATATCTTCCGGACCTTCTGAGCAACAAAAATAACTTCCTCATAAGAAACGTTATTAGCTAAATCTGATTCAATTAAAAGGATTATCAAGTAGCAATATCGCTCCTGGTACA